TAAGAGTGGGTCAGCATAATGAAAATTAATCAGTGTAATGCACAGCATTCCTAAAATGAAAGGGGGGAAATGCTATACTCTCAATTGATGCAGAAAAGGCATCTGACTAAATCAAACATGGTCTCGTGGTAAAAACATTAAAAAGCCCAGAAATAGAAGGAAACTGGCCCAACCTGATTGAGAGCGTCTATGAATGGCCCACGGCTAACAGCACGCTCAGCGGTGAGAGACTGAAGTTCTTCCTCCGAAACCCGGAACGAGGCAAGGATGCCCGCTCTCACAACTTCCATTCAGCACTGTACTGGGAGCTCTAGCCACAGCAGTTAGGCAGGAAAAGGAAATAAAAGGCATCCACGTTTGAAAGGAAAACTGTCTCTTTTCTCAAATGACATAATCTTATTTAATAAAATCCTAGAGAATCACAAAATAGTATTAGAGATAGTAGATAGAGTCAGCAGTTACAGGGCTGTACACCAACACACAACAGTCAGTCGTCGACATTACAATCAATGATCCAAAATGACATTAAGAAAACAATTCCATTTGCAATGGCATCAAAAAGAATAAAACAACCAGGCATGTATTTAAGGAGGAGGTACAAGATCTGTACACTGAGAAGCAGGAAACATTTCTGAAAGAAGCTCAAGATGACCTTAATAATGAAAAGACATCTGTGTTCATGGACTAGAAGACTTAATATTCCTAAGACAGCAACCCTATGCAAAGCACGCTATAGATTCAGGGCAATCCTATAAAAATCCCCATGGTATTTTTTTTTTTTAGAAATGGAAACACCAATCCTGAAGCTCATATGGAAATGCAAGAGATTTCAAATAGCTAAAACAATTTTGGGAATAAAAAAAGTTGAAGGACACGCACTTTGCAATTTCAAAACTTAATACAAATCAGTAAGCAGGACAGTATGGCAGCGAATTAAGGACAGACACAGAGATCCATGGAACAAAATCAAGAGTCCAAAGTAACCCCATCTACACGAAGAGATGTTAACATCATTAATCATTAAGGAAATACGAAGCTGAACAGCAGTGAGATACCACTTCACACCCACTAGGATGGCTACCGTAAAGGAAAAAAAAACAGGAAATAATGAGCGTTGGCAAGGATGTGGGAAAACTGGAACTCTCGCACATTGCTGGTGGGAATGTAAAATCATCACGCAGTTGCTGTGGGGAAACGGTTTGATGGTTCCTAAAAGCTTACAGACAGAATTACCATATGACCGAGCCACTGCTGTCCTAGGTGTACAGCCCAAAGACCTGAAAATCAGTGTCCAGATGAGTACTTGCCTATGACTGTTCATTGCAGCACCATTCAGAATTACAAGACGGAAGAAAGAACCCCAATGTCTGTCAGCGGACCACCGGGTAACTAGATGTGGTCTCTCCATACAAAGGAAACTTCATGTGCCATAAAAGCAGTGTAGTACTGATACATTCTAGAAAGGGGACGAATCTCAGAACATTACGGTAAATGAAAGAAGCCAGACACAAAAGGTCACGTATGAGGCCTCGGGAGGTGAGCTGTTCACAGGTGAGCCGGCCCGGAGGGGCGGTGGTCACACCGCGAGCAGCCACCCCAGGAGAGGCAAATGCACAAGAATCCTTCTCTAATCTAGAGCAGTATTTGTCTTGCATAAATTTAAAAGTTCCATTTTGTGACTTTACACCATTTACCCCAATGTTAGAATAGCATCACACAAGATGAGCCCAAAATCCTCAATAATTTTTGTAAATTCATTGTTTATGTTTGATACAATTTTTCTGAAAGATTAAGGGAGAAAGAACCAACCTCATATATACCGCATATATGCTCAGGGACTCAAATGTTTCAGCACCTCTAATATTTAGTTCTGGGTACCACTTGCCTTCTTCTCTCTCACTGTCTGTGCTGAGTGCATGAAGTCCTGGACCCGCACTGACTGTTCTTCCGAGCAATGTGTGTGTAACCTCCCACACCTGGTTGTGTCTTGCTTAAATAACCAAGTGATAATTATCTTACGTCTCTGTATAGTGTGAATATATTTTTCCATCTGTAAGTTCGTACTGTTAATAAATTAAGGATCCAGTAGAATTCTGCAAATTATCCACTTTTTTTTCTGTTAAAAATAAAAAGAATTATTGGAAGTTCAAATGAATATACCATCAAAGTCCATGTTCCCTTAGGGTAATTTTCAATGATCGTGGTGTTCAGGAGGCACACAAACCTCGGTGAAGTGCTCTTTCTAACAACCCTCCCACAGACGGGCGGGCAGCTGATGTAGCAGATACTGCAACATGTCAGCCCAGGAGGCAGGTGGTGTGTGTGCAGCTGCAAACTGCCCCATTCTGTCACCTGGCCTCTAGGTTTGAATATTTTTATATTAAAATGTTGGGGAAATATTATAAATATGTACAGCATATGATTCTCAACTTCAAATAACTTTATTCTCTCTTAGCCTCATCTTTCAAGATATCAGTGACATTTCACTTTACTAAGAATTCATTCTAGGGTTTTAAAAATCCTATTTCTTGGGGACTGTAACCAGATATAGTAAACCATCTAGGAGTTTTCATGCAAAAAATGTTGAATTGCTTCCTTTCTTATTTTTAAGATAAGCATGCTCTACAGGTAATTTTTATCTGAAAATTAAGACCTTAAAATCACTCTCCTTGCTGAACCTTAAAGACATTATGCTAAGTGAAGTAAGCCAATCACAAAAAGACAAATAGTGTTTAATTCCATTTATGTGAGGTGCCTAAAATAGTCAAATTCATAGACACAGAGAGTGGAAGGGTGGTTGCCAGGGGCTGGGAGGAGCGGGTGGGGAGTCAGTGGTTAAAATAGATAAACAGATGCAATTTGGGGGGGGGATGACCGTCCTGGAAGTGGATGGTGGTGACGGCTGCACAACAACGTGAGTGTCCTTAACGCCTCTGAATTGTGCACTTAAAAATGGTTGAAGTGGTAAATTTTACATCATGTGTGTCTTACCATAGTAAAAAAAAAATTAACCAATAAAAAAAAAGATCAACGTCAGGGAGTTTTAGTGAACCTGCCCTCTTACTGTGGCATTAAGTCCAAGTCATTTCGGTCTCTGGACCCTCACTGTCTTTTCCAGGGGGAAAGCCTTCCTTCCATAGAAGAGTTAGCCCGGCAGATGGAAGATGAGGAGATTAACCTGCCCGAGAAGCCCAGGACGTACCTCAAACGAGTTTTCCGGGAGAGCATCTACAAGCCGCTGGTGGAGCGGAGCATCCTTGACTACCTGCGCTATAATCACTACCACCTGCCCATGTACGCGTGGCCAGGCATCATTTAGCTGCGGCCGCCGTCTCCGCGTGATCGTTTCCGCACGTGTCGCCCGGGGGAGCGCTGTGTGGGAACAGGAAACCTCTGAAGCCCGGCTGCACCATCGGACACCGGCTTGGTTTGGTCCTTTCTCCTCCGCGCCCACCTCTGCCTGTAGTTTTCTATCTTCCCAGTAGGTGGCGCACGGCAGCGCCTCTCGATCCTGGGGCAGGGAGCCGCTCCACCAACGCCAGGCGTGCTCCCGGGCAGAGACACGCATGTTAGCAATAAAGTGGGATCGTACCGTTGTCTTTACCTTGGGCGTGATTCTGCTTGGTTTCCTGAAAAGTCCTGTGAGTCCCTTACACGTCTACCCCATCATACTCGGAGGGCGATTAAAAAAAGAAAGAAAGAAAGAAAACGGTGTGTCCAGGATGGAAAATAGTGAAAACAGATGATGGTAAATGAACTCTGTAATTCAACATCAGAAGCACTGATGGCTTAGGAAAGTTTACAGGAACTTTTGAAATGAGGAGGCTGCTACCACAGCCCCTGGATTTCTACTTCCTGTTTCCGATCACGGGCATAAAAGCACCGAAAATCTGGCAGAGCAAGACAGGGCCACACACGGGTTTTAGATAAGAAAACCTTAGTGGGAAATTAACCAAGGTCGTTTCCTTGGACCCTTGGTGCTGTTGCTTTGCATGGGGGCTCTCTGGTACGTGTCACCTGTGATGTGAGTCAGAAGCCTCTTTCTTAAAAATAAAGCAAATTAGGTGCCTACTAGAAAACCGTATGGATTCAGGGTCAACACACAAGACTATTTTCGTTTATTTGGACCTCTTTTAGCAGATAGTGTGATACAGTTTGTCTGAGTTTTTGAGCAGCAGGGCTTCAGACTGGCTTTTGTGGACATAATTCCAGTTTTTGTTCTTTTTTTGTATTTATGTTAACATTTAGCAAAAGTTGGCACAATTCCAGTGACTACACAGCTATTTGGGGGAAGGGTCATAGCTGGCAGGGCAATTCTACACCCGTTAACAAACTGCTGCTTCTCAATGACAAAGTCATTCTGGAGCATCGGACTCCGATTTTCCCAAGGCAGGCAAGGAACAAACTCCACTCATTCCTTCACACGTATGTTTTACAGAAACGCACGGGTCATTTCGAGGGTAGGCCCAGCTCTGACCATATGGTACAGATTGTGTAACACGAGTGGGGAACAATCACTGCTGGTCCCTCTTCAACCTGCAAACCCAGCACACTTGGAACCATATTTCAGGGCCTGCGAATGAGTCAAGAAACTCTCCTTCCCTAACCGCCCCCCACCGCCACTCCCAGCCCCAGAGGCCCTGGGTCAGATTCATCGGCAAATAGAGTGAGTTTCTGTGACAGGCCCTGGGACCTTGAATGGAGATGAACAGAACAACCAGTTAGAGGATCAACAGTAGTAATTTCTTTGACCAAGTACTACCATTACAAAGCTTCTGGTCACAAAAAAAAAAGTGACCCCAAATGACACTGCCAACCTTAACATCAAATCATGCATCATTTATAGTAAGTTTTCCTTTGCTGCTTTTTAAAAGTCGTCTGTAAGTATCCTGGTAGATTTGAAAATGTCTAGAATACGATCTACTCTAGAATTGGATGAAGTAACTAATCATCGTCCCACATTCTGAGTGTGAGTAATTTCCTGAAGCTAGACGGAAATTTCAGCATACACGTGCAGATTTGAGCATTTTATCACCAAGGAACAACTTTTCTAAGAATAAGAGACAACCCAACAGTTGTTGATCATAGCTTGAAAATGTCTGTTTCGAGGGCTGCAGGAGAATACAGGCATTTACTCCTCCGGGATCATAAACCCTGGCAAAAGAAAGCGCTTCCGAGAGGCCAACACGTGGCCCTCCCTCCGCCGCCCCGGCAGAGCTTCTGTACAGCCCCTCTATGCTACGCCTGTGCCGGTCAGCCCGGGAGGCGGGAGCTCTTGGAAGTCTGTAGTTTTGAACAAAGACTGCTGACAGAAAAACACCAAAGGTCAATTCCCCACGTGCTATTCCCACACAGGAGACGCAGCACCCATGCGCGTAGAGGCCCTAATGCTCTCCTGACACGTGTGGGTTTGTACTAGAATGTGGCCCCCTCCTTTCCAAAAAAACAGCTCCTTAGATCACACCCAAATGTCCCAGGAAGGCAAACGAAAAACAGAAGGGGAGGTGGGAGAGGAAAAGGAACAGTGCATGGAGGATAAAATACGGAGCCCCCAATCAATACTGACCCTCAGAAGAGGGTGTGTGCGTGTGTGCGCGTGTGCACGCGCCCGCGCGAGAGCCAGGGAGAGCGCACGGGTGCACCCGGCTCCGGGTGCGCCGTGGACCTGGGAGAGGGGCTCGAAAGTCGCCTTGTGTGAGGAGCTGTTGATTGTTTTCTGGTTGAGAGAAGAGGTGATGATAAGGCTGGGATAAAGTGCGCGCCGGGCCGGGCTGAGCGGCGCGGCAGCTGTATGCTAATACCCACAGAAACCAGCCTCCGCGTCCCCCATTAAAGCAGGCGGCCAGGAGGCCACACATCACTGAACAAATAGGCTCTCTCTAGACAAATAAAATAACACACGTTGGCCTGCGGGGAGCGAGCAGAGCCAGAGGGGGAGAGGAGAGGGAGGAGAGGGAGGGAGTGGGAGAGAGGAGAGGGGAGAGGGGGGAACCCTGAAGGAGAGGGGATGGAGGGGGAGAGAGGAGGGGACTCGGAGACAGGAAAAAGAAGGAGAGGGGGCAGTCTGAGGGGGAGAGGGTCAGGGGTGGGCGAGACTGTGAGGAAGAGAGAGACAGGGGAGCAAAAGATGGGAAGAGAAGACAGGCAAGGGGGAGAGGAGGCACGGGGTGGGCAGAGACGGGGAGAGGGAGAAAGAAAAGGGGGGCAGAGAAGGAGGTGGGGGAGAGTCAGAGGGATGCGTGGGAGAAAGGAGAAGGTGGGGGTGGGAGTAAAAGAGGGCAGGAGGGGGAACACCGACACCCAAACTCAAGAGTGGCCACAGGACCGGGGGAGGGGGGTAGAGGGGAAAAGGGAGGACAGAGGCCCAGGCGGACGGACACGCGCCCCTCTGGCCCCAGGCGCCTGGCTACCCCGCCGTCTGCCCTGCAGCGGGCGAGGACAGGGGACGGTCGGGGTAGCCGTGGCCTTTCTGGTCAGTTTCACTGGAGCTTCATTGCGGCCTTTCCTGAGCCGGGGGCGCGCAGGGACCCGGGCCGCCCCCTCCCAGGTGGAAACCTCCCCCTGTGCGCCCCACGTTTCCTGCCACCCCGGTCTGCTCGGTGCCATCCCAGCTCTTCGCAGCATCATTCCCTGCTTATGATTTTCCAACATTTTCTGGCTTCGCTTCGCCCTCTCGGCCCACGCCACCCTTCCGGTCGCTCGGCCCCGGGACCGTCTAACCCGCTTCCCCATGCCGGGCCCAGACAGTCCAACCGGAGGCGAAAACAAACAGCCCTGAGGGCACTTCAAGGAGCATGCGGCGGCCCGACGGCACACTCGGGAGGATGAAAGGGGCGGCCGGCCACCCCGTGGGCCCCGGCGAATAATGGGCGCGCAGCAGATTGCCGGGGGCACTTGAAACTCGAGGGGAGGGAACTGCTCGAGCGCGGTCCCTCCCCGCGCCCGGCGGCCAGCGCAGCCTCGCGGATTCGCCCTCGTCCCTCTCTTTCATGCTCTGTCCTTTTGTGCGGAATTATTTAAACGGGAGATCCGTGGCAGCTTTATGCTAATGCGCTGAACAAAGGCGACGGCCCGTGGGCGGGGGCCCGGAAGGTGCCCGGAGGCCGGAGCGGGCCAGGCGGGGCGGCGGCGGGCTGCGCGTGTCTCTCGCGTGCCCCGGGGCCCGATACCACCACCCCTCATTCCTGCAAACACAAAGCCTCTCCGGCTCGGGCCGGCGCGCGCGGCGCACGGGGGTGCGGCCCCTCCGGGACCTGGCGGCCGGCTCTGCGGCGGTGACGCGCAGTTCAGGCCGGGCGGGTGGCCTCGGACGGGCCCTAGGAAGGCCGCTGCGAATCCGGGAGAGGGGTCCGCGGCCGACTGGGGACGCCGTGAGGGCGCTGACAACGCCCCCTCGCGCCTCCCGCGTCTCCAAAGGCGCCGCTCGCCGCGGGGTGAGATTTCGGACCATCCTGTCCTCGCCTCTCAGGAGCTTAGGGGCTGCCTGGATCCGGCGACGTCCCACAGGGCAATTCCTTGGCCGTTATTCCCTGCCTTAGCGCTTATTTCCATGCTTCGTGCTTTCTAGCAACTCCCTGGCGCTAAACTCCTGCGTCCGGGGTCACAGTAAACCCCCACGCGTTCCCCGACAGCAGCCTAGAGCTACAGGACTGGAGAGCTTAGAGCGCCCGCGGCCTCCGGCTCCGGAGGCAGAACCCACTGCGGAGACTTCGAGGACCTGAGGCAAAAAGGCCGCCGCATTTTGCCAGAGCGCTGGCCCGAACCCCACAGGAAGGGGAGGAGTCGCCTGGGGCCTGGGAAGGACACTTCAGGGGTCCTGTCTGGGCTCCCTCTTCTCGCCTACTCCCCTGAAGCTCCCCTGGAGGAGGCAAATTAGCGCTCAGCGATTCCCCAGCCCAACGCCACGCAGCCCTACCCGGAATCGCAGTGCGCAAAGGCCGGCCGCAGCGGCGCAAAGTGGTGGCGCTTTGCTCTCTAAGAGGAAGGCTAATTTCTCGACTCAGTGTCCGCATGCCCGCGGGCGCGCAGATTCTGAGAAATAAACTCACGCAAAAGACGACGGAAACCCACGACCAGGAGCAAGAGTGCATGGTCCTTGGCGGCTGCTGGTGTGTGCGGGAGCGCCGGCCGCCTCATTCTTCCCCAGCCCTAGGTTATGAAATTAGTTTCTAATACTTGGACATTTCAAGTGTTCATTTGTTTTGACCGTACCTGTCTGAAAGCAAACTTCATTTTCGCTGGCAAGACTAGAAACCACAAATAAAGAAAAGGAAACGGATCCATTGAATCTCAGTATTTCAATAGTGTTCAATAGATTCTCCTGGCTTAATTCAGAGTCCTGTTTGAATTAGCTGCATTCAGGCAGGGGTTTTGTTTTGTTTTTTTGCACCCCCACCTCCCCACCCACCCCCACCCCCGCCCTCTTTACAATTATGGGTGGTGTTACTTTTAAAGGATTCACAAGGTGACTAACTCTCCCTGTTATCTGTTGAATGAAAGGGCTGTTACACATGCAAGACCAAATACCCTGCAGTCAGTTGGGGATGGCAGGCCGAGCCCCCCCCCCCCATTATTCCACAATCCAGATGGGATTCGTGATTAGAAAATAAAATTGGCCAAAGCTGTCCCGGAATCCCTTTTCCCATTTCTAATTTCATCAGCAATATCAAGCAGCGCTCAAAAGAGCAAGGAA